TATAGTTATTATTCCAAATAATTGTATTTTTTAATAGTTTCTCATTATACTTGACAAATTGTATTGTCCGTGTACAAGGATTATTTTAAAAAGAAAAAGTGTGTTGTAACATTTCCTCAAAATACACATTTGTATGTACATGAAATTAATAGTTTTGATGCACTTTAACTATTTTTTTTTTTACGTATATAAAATATATTTTGTTTTTTTTTTCACATGAAGAAACCTGAATTACTGATAGACAGGAAAATTAACGTCATCACAATGAATGCTACAAATCAGTACATCTGTTAATCAACCAACCGTTATCCTCCAGTAAGCTTGAAACTGTTTTATACAACTCTAGAGATTTTAACCTCATCAAAATTTCATATATTCTTCTCGCGTGCGACGAAGTTGGATGTATTATCCTCTTGTCTCTGTTAACTTATTGACCACACGAGTTAGTTAATATTTACAGGGAATATCGAACCCTTTACACATACGCAAATATGCGTACAAGATCGTTTTGAGTACTTAAAACCTATGCATTATTTTACTTGTGGTATTGGTTGTAAAGAGAAATTCGACTCTTATTTACAAATATAATTAATTGTGGTCACATAACATTCACGTACGTTTACTCGGCATATGTATTCAATGGAGTTAAGGTAATGGTGGGATTTTGGGTTAATCTGTAGGTGATTGTTATGTACATAAACTCTTCGCAAAAATGATAGAAAAGTATTAAGCAACATTTAGAAAGCACGAAAATTATGGTAAATTAAATTTGGAGTGAATATAATATCTAGACAAGGCTTTTAATTATGGAGAGGTACACAAATATTTTAAAGATTTGGTAGTTAATTTTCAATTGACTTCAATATATTAGTGAAAATATAGAATATTGTCTAATGATCAGCCAAAACATTAATTTGATTAATATCCAAATGGAAATTTTGGGTTAATTGATCAGTCAGACAATTTTTAGAAATAAATAATTCGCATTTTTTTGCAAAAGAAAAGAAAAGTCCAAGCAATGAGATTGCATTTATTTGCAATTATAGAGTTAACCAATACTCTTCTTTTCACAATCGATTAATTAAAATGCCATTCCTCAGAGTAAAGAATGTACGGAAGCACGTGTGCGATCGAAGAATCGGGAGAGCACAAGCCTCTTGCATTCTATTTGGGTCTTTGCTCTTGACCATTTCTGCACCTGTTGCCAGAAAATCAATTTATTTCAGTGGATACGATAAAAGAGATATTGATTATTTCAATTTCGTACTGTATATTTTGTCAGACTATTTATAGTCATGCTTTTAATTTCGTTTTCTTACTTTTATAATGTTATTACTCTTTGACATTACTTATTATGATATAGATCTATAACTGAAAGACTCAACCAATCTATTTTTAACTAAGAATTTAATAAAAAATATATCAAAATATTATACTACTAGTTCTGGAGCACATTTACTAAATAGCAATGTTTGCATGGTAATTTTAAATTAAATTTTTTTTATCACTGATTGCGTTGTAGGTAAAAATTACAAAAAATTTTCTGCCACTTATTGATTTTGTAACTTATAATGACACAATATCCAAGTTTGAGTTAATTTTATTATCGATACAAAAATTTTAAACTAACAACTTTTGTAATTTGTAATTAAAATAACAATTACAACTTTTTTTTTCATAATTCAAAATAATGTTAACACACTTTGCTTTTTTCATTCATTATTGGCTCATAGTTTTTTAATTTTCGAATTGAAAAATTCATAGGTAATAAAATTTTTTTAAATTTAAAATAAATGATTTAACGAGTATTCAATGTGAACATTTTTACAAATGTAATAATTATTCATGATTAATTTATTGTGGTACTGCAATTTAAACGATTAGGAATGTATAAGCAAATAAACAAGACATAAAGCGGACAGGGGATAAAGTGAACATGTGATGATCATTTGTAATGTTCTTCTAAGAGAAATATAAACCCATTACAGGCGTCCATCTTATTAGTGACAAAAACATTGTTTTTAAAACCTTGGAAGATTGTTGGGCTAACTAGAACGGTTCTCGCACTTTTAGATCATTGTTCAAAATAAGTACATGTATTTATAAATTTAATTACTCGTAAAGAAGACGTCTGCCCGAATAAATCGGCTGCACTATTTAGGATACGGAGTAACTTCATTGTGACACATCTCTCACCTTTCAAAGCTTGACCAAAAAAAACGATCGGATAGTTAAAACACGCCCTCCTTTAACTTTCAATTATCCCCAATTTATTATGTCTCGCCAGTCAGAAAGTAATTGCTTTTGAGAAAAATCATCACAAAGCGACAGCAAAGAAAACTAGAAGACTCGTTATCTCACTCTCGTTCTTTGATCATCCCTAAGAATTCGAAACGAGAATAGCTCTTTGCGTTCTTTGCATAAGCAACCATAACGATAATGAGTTTCTCATTAGAGTAGGGAGGGAAAAGGAGCGTTTTTACCAAGTTACGATCTTTTCGTAATTTTGAAGTATCTTGATTTTTTTATATCATGCTTGCAGAGACTAAATTGGCGTTTACAAACAATATTAAAGACAACCTCCTTTGTCACATTTTGAAAGGTCGTCTTTTGAAATACACAATCTATCCCGTGAATTTCATCCAGTGAACTTTTACTAAAATCCAGTGAATATCATGTCACTAGCTCAGTGCATCAGTATATTGATTTCCACATTACCTACGTACATCTAGTTACGCATCACTTATAATTTGACACTTGACACTTAAACATGACATGTATAGGAGTTGTGTGTACTTCGATCATGGAATTTCGAGATGGTTATGTTACACTCAAGTTTCCATGCTACGTATATTGATACTAAAGCGAGGAATTTCGAATCACAATGTCATATTACAATGTTTATTTATTCTTATTACTCAAAAAAACGAATATTTATTATTCTTGGGGTTTTGAGAGTAGAAAAATTTCATCAGCATACACTTAATAGCGTCATTATTTGTGAAATTCATTTTTTAATTTGGATTTTTTTCGCAAAAATAATGAATTTAATCGAAACCAAACAAAGAGAGCGGGGGAGGGAGGGAACTAGATAAAAGATGGGCGGAAAGGTCACACATGCGGCAGCCCATGGAGTCTAGGGCACGGGCATCAGGGTCCGAGCTTTGCACTCGGTACGCAGAAACAGCTACTACTTAATGGCAGCGTCGTCGCCGCTGTTTCTAAATCGGTCAGTGTAAAAGGGGCGCTCGAGATCCGGTCGCTCAAACGGCAGCTCTCCGTCCCTTTCGCTCTTTCTCTTAATTTTGCCCGCTCGCATAAGACCACGGCCACGTTCGATCACCGACCGAAATAACACAAGCCGTTGGCATTGTTCCGTTTCTACCCAAAAGCCTATAAACCCTGCCATGAATATCGTTTTCCACTGGGCTTTTATACAAGTAATTATCACACTCTTGCTTTTTTATGTTTAAAATAGCATTTACTCGTTACACGACGGTTAAAGTTTGAGAGTCAAGCAGAAGTTGATTGTCAGCGTTGCCAATCGATTGCAGCTATTAAGTATTTCCGATGTATTGGAATGTACTTTTCACGCGTCATTGAGAAGCTTTGCTAATATTTCATATTGTCTGTTTCGTGAATGAAAAGCTCATTTGACGCTTTGGTTGTTTCATTTAGTGATATAAGGTTCGGTGACTAGGTTTGGTTTCTTACAATCTCGACATTGTTGCTCATAAGATTTGTAAAACAAAGTGCAATCTGAGTATTAAGGATTTTTCTTAGCATTATTATAGCTTTGTGATAAAAATTCAAGCAAACATCTTCAAATTACATTTGTGCCCAAACTGTGGTTGCGTCAATTGTTGGGACGAGAAAAATGTTCAGCAACGTTGAGCAAATGACAAGAATTTCAGACCAGCCTTAAAATTTTGAATTCAAAGCCAAGATTCACCTTGATGTCCCGGCAAAGCTTTAAATATAATTCATCGAAAAATTCGATAGGCCGACTTTGCGGATCATTTCAATAACTCCGAGAATTGGAAGACGGCCAAGCCGCGTGTGTTGTACCGCGCGCAAATTCACGTCTTATGGACACATCGCGATATGACGACTACACTGACTGGCTCGTCTTACGAAAATATCAAGAAGCTTCATCGTATATTTATTCATGATGATGGGATTACGTATCAGTTTTTATTTTCATGCTTTTTATCGCCGCTTTAAATCAGTACCAAGATGATTTTTCTTTGCCTGATTGTACATGACAAATAACCAATGAATTTGTAACAAACAGAAGAACAGTCCCATAAATGACTATATTTTTGATCCAAAATCTAATAAAAATGCAAGTGCAAACAACCAAATAAATAAAAATTTGATAACAGCATTCTCCCTGCAGAAAACCAAAGCATTTAGCTATCCAAAAGTAGGCGATAATGTAATTTCTCAGAAAATCTCGAAAACTGGGTCTGAGTTGTCAACATCTCAAGTGAAAAAGGAAAAGAGCTTGCATAAGCGTGCCCCACAGACTTGGGTGTGAAGACCGCCGCTGTCTACCTGTCTAAGATTAACAGCTCCACTCGCAAAATTACACGAGCGCACGTGTGCCCGATGATCGGGAGAGGAACGGTGAGCCTATCGGGTCATCGGTACGCCGCTAAAGCTGCCAAGTGCAAGTAGTCCTGCGTTAATTAACCAACCGCTTGAGGTAAGAGAGGAATACATAGGCTTGTGCGAGAGGAGGAATCATCGATGGTTCAGCTGTGGTCTTGTCATTATCTTCCCGTTCGTGGTGGTACAATGCAAGTGTATAACTGCCGTTTGGCCATGTGCATGTGGTTGATCCAGGGTGTGTCTATTGAGCTACTTTTAGCGCCTGTTGCTTTTAATGCCTGTTAAAGTAAGCGCACGCATACGCACGCTCATGAGCTCCATCTCTGTCTAGTTCGGCGCGCCACTCCTCATTAAATGCACGTAGACACACAGAAACAGACTTATTCGATTTTCGGCCAGGGCCAGTATCCGTCTGTCTCTCTGTGTAAGCAATATTTGACTCGATACCACTACCACCAGCACTTATTATTACTTTTGCTACTACTACTACCACTTGGCGGCTAGCTCGGTATGAAATTTCGGGCCGCCTAACAGGCTAAATAACAGAGGCCAGTAGTATCGTGAATCCATCCGGATGAAGCTGGGATAAGTCAATCAGGTGCTCAGTGCCGCGATCGCGGTATTGGATCTGTAGGGCGAATGAGTTAGTGGTGGTAGTGGTAGTGTTAGTGGTGATGGTGGTGGTGGTGGTGGTATCGATGATGATAGTAGCGATGACGCGTGCTATCACCTACCTGTCGGTGTCGCTTCGTATTAGCGAATGCGCGTGAAAATCTCAATACAACTGGTGCATCTTTATTAATGTATACTGCCTGCACTACTACTTCATCATCATCCTTAAATATTACGTAATGCCTATATTCTTTTCTCCACGTGCTCGTACCACGTTTGTCCTTGGGGAATTCAACAATTAAAAATAAATAAAAGAGCAGTAACCGATGGTAGATCGTAGCAAGTGAACGCGTTACCGCTCCTAAGGCTTTTCTGAAACTACATAATCAAGTTAAAAAATTTTACTGAATGAATGGATAAACTACAATGAATGCGTTGTTTCATAAGATGAAGACTGCATTCATTACCGTCTGGTTTGGAAGCAGTTCATTATGAGAGACAGCCTTTAGTCTACAAAATCTGTCGAGTAAATTAGGGAAAAAATAAATAAACTTCCATAATGGGCCTGCAGCTCTCGATACTGATCGGCTGCATAGGTGCTTTGGAACTGGTGGCCTGCGTGAGGCATATAGCTGTCTGCATGCTAAACCTGACGGACCATCCGTCGTCGAGCTGCTGCATTGACTATTTTCATCGATCCAGACCGTTATCCGATGGCAACACCTTGGTCGGCAAATCAAGCGCAGATTGCAGTGAGATCGAGGCTATTCTTAGGGAAACCAGGTCCGAGCCTGACGTCTTATGCCTCGGTCCGCCACGAAGCCCAGCCGACAATTGCGTCAGACTCAAAACCACGAATATGTCTTCATTGCCACTTGGCAGCCAAACGGATGAAGCAACGACGCACGAAAATGACAGGGTTTTAATTGAAAAATTGACCAACGATCTGGCATTACCTCTTAATGAGCTACCGAGCCAGCCATCCGATCCATCATCTTTAGCGAACACTGAAGCCAAGCCTAAAGGAATCGCTGCAAAGTCAAGCACAAAAAGGATCGTCAGACGCTCAAAGACACCGGAAGTACGTATAAAGCGTGAACTCGGTGATTTAAATGACGAGAATGAGGAAGCCAAGTTGCAGCAGAAAAAGCTTCACAGGACGACAAAGTCAACGTCAGCCGTAGCCAGCAAGCGATCGGCTAAGCTTAAGTGCAAAAATACGGAGCTTGGCAAATCCGCCGAGAATCTCACGACGATTAAACGGACAAAGCGCCAGCGCGACCCAGAACGTTGTAAATCTGAGATCCAGATTCGCGACGTCGCTGCCAATCGGAACAACGTGCGGCGGGACGAGTGGACTAACACGTCGCCCATAGGTAGTGAATGCACTTTGTCCCGGGCGTCAAGCAAGAGAAGCATCTCCGTGCTGATACAGACGAGTTTCGAGGACAGACTGTTTTGTCCTGAGAGCAATAGGGTATTTCCAAATTCATCAGCCAAGTTAAGCAGCGTATGTCCCAACTGTAATTCCTGCACTGACGAGGGCCCATCGAGAGAGGTACGACGTGTTACGATTGCCAAGACTGATAGCAAAACCCAGCTAGTCAAAGTATCAAGTTTCGAGCAGGCATCTGGTGACGACTACGAAAATCTGAGGAACGTGATTGGCAACACTTTGAGCACAAAAAAGGACTGGCACGAGGGTGGAGTCAAATTGTCAATCGACAACGAATCTTTCGACAGCGAGTATGTTGACGCCGAAGACGAGGGTTCGAGCGTCCTCGAGCAGCCTATCCAGTTCAATATCCCGGATCCGGGGGATAATAAGGCTTTTTGGGTAATTTCGAAGACTTAGCAATCGCTAGAAAGTCCACATTAGTTTCCTCTGATTGTTCTATTTCCTACGTAGATTATAATCTAATAATCATTATAGATGTGTGTGAGTGTGTGTGTTTGTAGGTAAATCCAACGTATGACGGGAATAAGTATCAATTTTAATATCTGTAGTAAGTTTATTTATTAGTGGGTATGTATAATAGCACGGAGACATACAGAGATTTGATAAACTGGCCCAATGATTTGTTTCCTTTGGTATATCTCTGTAGCTATCAGTATATGTAATCTGCCAATGATTCCATGAACACACTTTGTATATTCATTTTTGTCTTACATTTTGTACATGACCACTTTACATGATGGACTTAATAAATATTTTTTTGTGGTACACAATATAGTAATTTTATGTTACAATACTTGATGCAGAAAATATCCTTTTAATTCCTGTCCTATTAAAACATAATACTAAAAAAAAATTTCCAATTAATAACATAACTTTATTGAAAGATACTACAACATCGAAATGAAATCCACACTATTGGAGCAACAGATTGGCGTCCAACCTACTTATAAAACCTTAACGAATGACCCATTTTCACAAACATACAGTTGCTGAGAGTCAGTGGAAGAATCTAAAATGCTAATCGACGGAGTTATCGAATTACCTGACGAAAGGACCAGTCTTGACCAGTTAATTAATCACACACATTTTAAATAATAAATTTAGTTCAAGGCCTACTTTTAAACCCAAGATAACTAAATACTCTCAATATCCGTAATTTTAGCATGCTGCAAGCTCTCAAGCTCTAATGTGTAAATGCTACTTTTCATCAAAGACAAATTTGTGCATTCAATGTCCAGTTCAGTTTCCAACATTTGCGCCAACGTTTCGAAAACGGTTAGTAAGACAATTGAATCGGTCGAATAAATTTCTCTTTACGACAGCTGACGGCCATAAATTTCCCGAGCTTGGTCTCGTACTGCAGTTCATAGGCCAATTGATTATTCTAAACGATCGCTGAAGCACCTCATGACTTCCTACGAGTTAAGCTCTGCGTCATTTTAAGACAGAAACGGATCGTCTTAAATCTTCTACGGAATTTGAATAATCTCCATTACCAGGGGATTTTTGAAATCGAATGTTTGGTGCGACAGTTTCATCAAAACTGGTGTCACACGAGCAAAGACAACTTCCCTGACTTTGCTTTTTTTACGAGATTCAACTATTCGCAGCGATTCATTGAATTTACTCCGATTTAAAAATAAAAAGACCCTCGGTGAAAAAGAAAAAGGCACCGCACTTTCAAAATGCCACCTCTTAAATTTTTGTCCCTCTCTTTCCTCGATCTCAACATTTTCGAACAAAAAAGCTCTATAGAAATGCAAGATCACACACACATATAAACTCTATGTCACGGCGTCTGCCTTTAGTGCCGTGTGCTATGCGCGTGGGGTCTGTATCTTCTTCTTCGCTGGCTTCGCCCAAAAATATCAATCTCTCTAAAAAACTATATGCGTACACACAAGTCAAACTGCGACGAGATTACAAGGAATGTTATACATGGTAAAAACCAGATCGGAGACAATTGAACTATATTCCGTTTTTTCTCTCTCAATCGCGGACTGTTCGCATGGGTTTTGAATACATGAAAAAACCGAAGAGAAAACGCTGCTTGTTCTTGTTTATGATTTTAGAGATTTTGTGTACAAGTGAAAAATTAGAAATAATTCTTTTTCTGACCTCGGGCGTTTTTGAGGGTTGGGTGTGCCCTTGGTAGGAAAAATAGGATTCGCCACATGAGCGCCATAGCTCCGCTGACACCTTACGTCCCTCGGGCCGCAAAATAGCTCCGGAGACGGTGGCACTTATCCGACGAAAACTACTATTTCTTTAAGGGTACACGTGATTTCTTGTTACGTAAGACCACATGATGATGTCGTAGATAGAGCTGTTATTCAGGCAAAATTGGTTAACTTAAAATTTGGCTGCAATTTCAAAGACCTCGCTCTTTTGTGAGTTTTCTCAATATAAGCAGTATTTAAAATTTCTTGTGCACGAAGACATAAAACATTAAAGAAAACAAATAACGTTATAGTCTATTTTTCAAAACCGGAAATGTCTGAGGGGGTCGCCAAATAATGTATTTACGAAAAACCCAAATATTTAACACTCCAATGACAGTTTGAAAAGGTATTGTATCTTTGGCACTTGGTTTCTAGCATTTAAGCCAAGGATAAAGATTTTTCAAAGAAATCGTTAAGCTAAATTAAACTGCATTAACTTACACTTTTATCGTTTTGAAAATAATTTATGATCCAATAACTTTGAATGCAACGTGACAATTTTGGTGACTAGATATGTGTTCTTATAAATGATACATAATGTTTTTTATCAAGAACTGAAAAAATCAGACTAAAAGATTAAAATGAAAAAACCTTACATATCATCAAACTATACACAAAACAATTCATTATTAAACAGGCTCATTTTGTGATAAACGTCCATATTAAGCAAGCTATACGTGGCACGTGCAAAAAACTTCTAACATGCGAGATCTTAGCAAAAATGTTACTTCTACGTTTTTATCAGGAGGTATTCGTATCGTCAAAACACGCGTCTGGCGCTTTTTCTGTCTCTTCGACCGATTATTGGTGATGCGTGGAAACATTCCAACCCAATCATCGAGGTTACACGTATATGTGCGTTTGTGTATCTACAAGTTAGGCCCCTCAATGCTATTTTTCCGCTACCGACGAGGAACCACCTGCTTGGCACAATGACAAGTCCAGTGTTACGAGATCAGCTTCCAGATGCTGCGTCGAAATAGTCATCATCATTTGCGAAATAGCTTTCATCTGTACATCGCGATGGCATGAAATTATATTTTGAAAATTCATGTACTTCGGATTTTTTTGTAGACTATAGAATATAATTATGATACACGTCACCATCACCACCATTAATCATGGTTTGTGCAAAATTGTATTTGAGTGGTGAAGATTGTCCTTCGAAATTACACGTCCTATGATTTACCAAACGAATTTCGTCAGGTATATGCTCACAACTTATTTAATTGCGCAACATTCACAACATTTTTTACTTCGAGCAAGCTCATAAACTAGCGTAGCATGGAGTAACATCTGAGCGAGTCTTATAAAGCACCCACGGATATTAGATTGGAGATAAACAAAAGTGAAGCATCCAAAAATATTCGCAGTCAAACTTGGGGAGTATTTCTGCTTTTCAGTCAATTTGTACAACCACTCACGCAAAATTGAACTTCACGCATGAATGCGACTGTATTCAGCTTTAAAAGTACTTATAATTGTTGCGGTAAAAATTATTTCTAAAAACGATGAGTTCAAAATTGCCATAGCTACAAAAAAACCTAACAGTTTGATGAACGATTTTCCGGATTTGGTATACATTCAACAATCACTGGTTTAGTTGTATGATTCCTGAGTTCTACGCAGTATCTTAACCAACGAAAATAGATTAGCAAAAAAGATTGAGGGATGAGACAACATAGTGGTCCAAAACAATTCGTCTATATTTCGCGCAAAACAAACAAGTCCGCACACGTCGACGATGATGGCTATTTCTTCTCATGTATTGCTCGGACGAAGGTACATGTATACATACGTAAATACATACATAGTTTGGGTGCGGGACCATTTCCAAAAATAACGACGACGACGTCGCGGCGACGATTACACGGCTGGTAGCTCCCTGCTGGCGAGAAATATTGTAAAGAAGTGTTGCACCCGACACTCAAGCTCATGTAGGTGGGAGAAGAGTTGAGTACTTGTGTCTCCATTAGAGAATTCTTTTCTTTTTGCTCTTAGAAAAATGTTTTTCGCGACGACACGGCGGAAGTTATCACTGTTGCTCTTAAAGACGAAGGGAAGGGGGTCTTGGCTATTTTTACACAACTCATGATTACGAACCCATTGATGATTGCCTGGGGGTATTTTATTTTTGGCTTCGCATCTGTTTGCGTCCGACGTATTGATGCCCATTCGATAGATATTTCGGACAAGATGAGTATGAGCTTTTAGGACTCGGATACTCGAGTTATGGCTGTTGGAATAATTTTGGCTATTTGAAATTGACATACATTAGCAGAGGAAAGGTATTGCTTCCTTACACCTCGTTTATATACCAGGTATGGCGTAAATTTCAATGTACAGTTTCCAAAAATGTTTATCAAACAATTGAGCTATCAAAGCCAAATGTAACGTTAATTTGTGCTCTTTAAGAAAGCCATCAAATTTTTTTGACTAAAGTCGCTCGAAAGTTCAAGATCACTTACCGAGTAAATTAAGACAACATACTAGCAAAAAAGACAGAGCCCCTTGTTTTTCTTTGAGTCCGCGGATCATACACACACGTGCCCAAGAAAGAGGAAGAGACACGAAAACAGTATCCCTGTTTCAGCGCAGGAGTGGGACAAATATTACCGCGGTGATCTCTCGCAAGCGCGGATAAGTTGCACCCGGCACAACTTGCACCACGTCGCGGTGGTGGAAAGTAAGAGAGAAGGGGCTACTACCACGAGAAAAGAAGAGGAAAGAGAGAAAGAGAGAAGGAAGGACCAGAGTCCCAGAGAAGAGAGGGAGGAAGCGAGAGTTGGTGCTCTCTCTGGAGCCAGGGGATCTGAAAATAGCCAGCGCGCGTTTTCTGACAACGCCCCGGCCGGTCGGTTCCTAGATTTCAGTCACTTCGCAGGCTTTCGAAAGGGACGTTGCGCTCAGAAGAAACACCACAGTCCGTTTTAAGCGGCCGTGCAGCACGGTTCTTGTTATCGTTGTTTGTTGTTCTGGTAGTATACGGTAGAGCCGGTAGTAAGAGCGAAGAAAAAGCCAGGAAAAAGAGTAGTCAGCATTATGGCAGACGTAGACAGTGTAGTGTACACGACCACCGAGCGCAAGACGCGCAAAGTTAAGAAGACGACGAAGCGCAGGGAGAGCCATGACCAGAACGCCGAGGTCACGATCACCGAGCTCGACAACAACCAGCCGAACAACCACCATCCTGCCGTCACTGAAGAGTATGTGCTGGCTGAGAAGATTATTTTTCTCTGTCTTTCTCTATCCAGAAACTTCAACCTTCTTTGGGTCCTGTTCCACTCCACTATGTCTTACCTCGGGATGCCGATGTCTGGCAATCCTTTGTTAAACGTTCCTCTTCGAGACGTACGCGGAAGTCATACACGTACGCGATTCGCGAACGCTGATAAGACGCAGTTGATTGTAGACCCTTTGGGGCCGGTATGCAGGTTCACCCAAGGACGCGTGAAGTGCGCCTTTCGAAAGTTTTGAGTCGGGCTACACTTGTTCATTTCGAGAAAATTTGCCGAGGTTATTCCGCACAACTGCTATTGCGAATTAATTTGAATTAACGAAAGAAAATGATAACGGGAAACTTCGAACTTTTTTGCGAACAACTAATAATTCAGTCATAGAAATTACGGAACTATTTAGAGTATTTTCAGAGAAGGTAAGCGGGGAATCGTAGCGACGCTCTTCGAACTTCCGTCTGCGCGCGAAAACCTTGGAAGGGAAAGTTCGACGGCAAGTTTTCGAGGCTCGATTCTCGGGTCGGATACTCGAGCCTTTTGTTTATTATTGTTATTATTATTATTATTATTATTATTATTCTTATTATTATTATTATTATTCTATTTACTCGAACAATATATTCTTCAAACCACATTAAGCACGAAAACACTGAATGATGCGTCTGTTCGGTCGAATAGACGATACGTTACAAATCATTTGTCACAAGTCACTGATTTACTTTTGCTCCATTATTCTAAAATACTTTCTACAAAAATAAAAAAATAAAAAATCAAAGAATATATAATATATAATAAACAAGCTCTCAGCCAGCACATACAACAGCACTCAACCAAAGGTACATATCTTGAGACAACAATCAACTAGCTGTTCTGGCCACCACTGTACCCAACGATCAATCATATATGTTATGTCAATAATTTACTGTATAACAAATGTAGCCACTTACGCAGGCAACAAATGAATATAGCACCGAAGCACTGAAACGTACTTACAGTCACATATGAATGCTTACATAAAAGGACATACGTAATCTAGTGGAAAATCATTGTTTGCGTGAATATGAAATAAAAATGTTCCTCTTCTGTTTCCTCAACTTATGTAAGATTATAGAGTTTGCACTAGTGTGAAAATGCTTAAAAAAGTTTTTAATCAGTATATTCTAAATGAAAGTTTAATCATAAAGTGTTTTAACTGTTTACGTGATATGACGATCAGTTTGATTTATTTATAAAGTATCATTCTTTATTTTTCTGTTAATTTCAAAGTTTTTCGTCAAAATAAATCATATTTATTTTGATCCACGAACATGAAAAACGATATGTTCTTAAACCAATGAATTTTGGCACTGACTCTAACGATGCAGTTATATTTTCGAGTCTTGTACCAGGCAATTAAGTGCCGCATGATTTTCGAGTAAATGCGTAACTACCTTGATCTTTAAGACTTTTATTGAATTTGTAAAGTTTCACAGCTCGAAGAAAACTATTAAAAAATTATAAAGGACGCCCAAAGATGATTTAATTTAATTGGACTCCAATTAGGTTAATAAATGAAGTTACACAAGTTGAAATCAATGTTATCTTTGGCACGTTGAATTCAAATCATTTAGATCGCTTAAAAATTGTCCCCAACCACATCGAATCAACCAATAAAAGTAAATGCCATAAGTTGCAAAAATCCAATTGGATGATGGACGATGAATGAGATCGTGAGGTCCCTAAACTTGAATTACTTATGACGGACGAAATAAATAATAAATAATTGTTATAATAATGATCCACTATCACTGACGCAAGAATTTTCTTTTACAGTTAATTTTCAGTGGCGAGTACACGAAGGCAATGAACAAGGACTGGCACAGTGGCCATTTCTGCTGCTGGCAGTGTGACGAGTCGCTGACGGGCCAGCGATATGTCCTTAGAGACGAGCATCCCTACTGCATTAAGTGCTATGAGAGCGTTTTTGCCAACGGCTGCGAAGAGTGCCACAAAATCATTGGCATTGACTCCAAGGTATGCTGTTACCTTTTAGATTTGCAAAAGTAAATATTCGCGCAAACCTTAATATATAAAATCCTTAATACCTTAATACATAATACATAAAAACAATCTCTAAAATTTAAAAAAAGCTAGCTCCAATAAACAGCGTTGACTATGGATTTCTCTAAGGGAAGGAGCTACTCTTAGTGATCAAAGTTACATAAAATTAAAGAAAGGAGCACTTCTAGCTCTCAGGTCCATTGCTCAGCTTCTCCAACATTTTCACACGGCACGTCGAACTTTCGAGCTTTCTCGACTCTTTTGCCACTACGACCCCGAAATTTCCTCTCTCTTGCACATGGACTGGCAGAGAAGCTCGAATTACAAAACCAAGAATAGCGGTATGCGCCCTCCTCTCCTGTATCCATATTCCTCGCTCCGCGAATATGCGAAAATCAAAAGTGGCTGACAAGAGAGTGGCAAAAAATGACGATGACGAGCTCTTTATAGTTTTCTATTTCTGACATGACTATTCTCTCCTCCCTCTTTTTCTTGTTAATAATACAATTACACATTGAACTTTTCATTCTTGGCTCGTAAATCGAAATTATTATAAAGGCCCTTTACAAATTGCCAAAGGCGATTTCTAACACGCGTGGATATAAACAGAAAATCTCTTCAGCAGAGCGAATATTTAAATTATAAATAGGAAGAAAAAACTTGAATCGACGTTGAATCTCCGATGATCGACGCAGCGTTGCAAAGCATAATTTTACTGCCAAAGAATCGTGAGTAGTTCACGTCATTTCAGGGGTATGTGGCGTTTTAATTTAGAGTGCCGAGAAAATTTTCGAAAGATCACGAAAAGATGTGCCAGCTTAGCGGCGTTCTCGCGTTATGTAGATGGGCGTTGACCTACTCATTCCCAGAAATAGAAACGATGATGCACTCGTCGTTCGCTTTTCCCCGCTCATTCTCTGTGCTCTGGACTATTATTACCATATTTACAAAAAGGCTATTACTTCTTAACACTGAAAAATTCAGAGTACTAGTGCCTTGGTTGCACAATTTTATAATGTTACAGTTGTCGTATAGGTCTACTCTTGAATCAAAGAAAACATTAGCCAACAATAAGACGAATTTCTAAAGTTTAGTTTCTCATAAATAATTTTGATTTTTCTTAAACGCAGACTCGTTAAAACATACGTTTTTTGAATTTTTACAACTTTTGTATTTGCCACTGCAATGAAAAAAAAACCACTCGTTTCAGTATTTTTTAATACTTTTTTCATTTCAAGAGATTATGATTATATCATTGAAAAAGTAATGATAACAAATATTATATGCCGACACATAGGCTTAAGGTATAAGCTATAAAAATTATAGCAAAAAACTTATTTTAAAAATATTTTTTTTCGTCTTTCCTATAATTTTGTAAGCAAAATAAAAACGGTGAAAAAGTAAAAAATTGCGTAAACACAACAGAGAATGGCGAACGCGAGAACTAATAGGAGAGCCATTATTTAAATTGTCCTGAGACCATCGATTGTTCGTAGGATCTGTCTTACAAGGACAAACACTGGCACGAGGCTTGCTTCCTATGCAACAAGTGCCGAGTGTCTCTGGTGGACAAACAATTCGGCAGCAAGCTGGACAAGATTTACTGCGGCAACTGTTATGATGCCCAATTCGCTAGTCGCTGCGATGGATGCGGCGAAATCTTCCGTGCTGGTACGTACTACTACTACCTTAATTTTCTTTTTCCATAATATTACATCCAAGTGATTATAATTTTGCATTTGGTACACGCTTTCTTGTTTGACTGTTGAGAATTTTCAAGTATACTACTTTCCAAACTCTGCAGCATAAAACCAATCCCCAACGATTAATTTATCATCGTTTATTGCTTTACTGTGCACTCGATCAAACAAGATGCATTGCGTCACACATCATAAAGTTAAAAAAAAAAAAAACAACTCTGCGCAAACATCTTACGCCAGCAACAGCACCGAAAGGAAAAAAATGAGCCAGGAGTTTGATTTTTCACGAAGTCGCGGATGACTCATATCGGCACTCTTTGGCCTGCTGTATGGTCCCCTGGGAGGGAAGGGGTTACTACGGTGTGTGAGTGAGCTCTTATAATATACGCGCGCGTATTCGAACGATTTTTTTCTTAATAAGGTAAACGAGTCAAGGACCCGGGACTCAGGGACCTCGGGCTGATATTGCTACAGCCTCCGAACGCCAAAAGTATAGTATATATACTGGTGGTCGATGTTAATTTCGTCATCGTGATAATGACGAGATGGTGTGTAACGAAAGTGGAATCAACAGAGTCATGATGTTTTTTTATTTATACATGCATGTTCATTTATCAGAGCTAATTTTAGATAGAGAAAAATTCGTACTGTTGATTTTATTGTATTCATCTCAAGTTGGAAAGCTTATAATATGTCATTGATTGTGATTGATTGCTATGATGTAAATATTGTGTTTAATATGTCTTGAATTATATGAAATCTTGAAGTATTGGTAATTGATAAAACCTGACAGAATGTACATAGTAAAAAGTACATGATTTTTGCACTGTAAAAAGCGTAAATAATTGTTAAAATTATCCCTTTTCAATATTCAATAATCACACTTGGACATTATGCTAGAATGTCTGTTCCGAGGAAACTACTATATTTTGTCACAGCGATGTATTTTACATATCCAAACACTGACTCATCATTTGATGAAGCCTCTATTTGTAAAGCAATTTTCAGCTTAGCGAAATTTAATTTTTTTTGCTAACTCGCATTTGCTATTTAAATCGTGGATTGATAAAATAATATCTCAGGTGTCACTAGTGTGGCTACTGTATTAAAAAAACAAATTTATTTTTCTTTGCTACATTTCGTAAAAATTGAACCTAGTAAGTTACCCTTACGTTCCAAATTCTTGTAACAGCAGTGTAACAACTGATGACACAATTTATTTACCACCAATATAAAAGCCACACGAGTGATCTTTCAGGGATTGATTTAATAATTTACCACCACATATTTACCCTTTAACTTGATAATCTCGCCATCCCCTCAAAACACGCGCACGTATAAATAAATGTATAGCTGAACAGAACTTAATCATGCGAACGGAGTACAACCAATAATATAAGTCTGGTGTGCAGTGCAATTTTCGTTAAAAGCCCTCTGTGATACTTAAATCACACTCCTACAGCTGAGCTACCGCCACTTTCATCGTTCAGGATATTTGCAAAATTACCAACGCGCCACGCATTAACCAAATGTTGCAACTATATGCATGAGACGTGAGCTGGCTCGTCCACTTGGGATTTCATATCATATTTGTGGTAGAGGAGAGCCGTTGCTAATTAATGATGCGCGAAGCGCCCCGTATTATTTACTTGGTAGATTTACTAGCAAGTTCTTTCTTTTATTTTGTCATTTGGTATTGAGAATATATAGATTTCGTGGACGAACGATGCATTTTTTGTACAAACAAGTATAACAATACGATGGACGTTTTGAATACGTTTTTTTTTGAGTAGAGAAAATTTATGGTTTATATTAAGTCCCAATACTACAATGTATTATACCAAGTCTCCTTTTTATGATAATGATTTTCTCTGTACCTCTTGATTACAATGTTTCTGTAATTTTTATCTTTGGTAACTCGTTATTTTTACCTTATTTTTAATTCTAATTTAATGTTTTTGATTTTTATCTTCTTTTATCTTCTTTATTTTTTATCTTCTCTCGTTTTTTGGTTGAATCATCTGCTTGTGGGGTGGGCTCTATTCATCAGCTGGTTTATTTATTATTCCTTTATCATTTTTTAAGAATTTCTCGAAAAGGTGAACATCCGAAATTTTAATTCTAATATTTAAACCATTGGACTTTGAAAATTTTCAATGCGTACTCTACAGAGAATATTAAATTAAGGCACGCTTCCACACGTTTCAACTCACATAAAAGATATCTCTAGCGACAATTAAGCAGTTGCTAAATTACGTCCACACGTTTTAATCGCATGATATAGCATATTAAATATAGTATGCGTCCGAAAATTGTTGATCTTTTGAAAGAGTTAATTGGAGAGGAGCTTTCTCAATTTCGGTAAAATCTTACGCGTGTAAAATATGTGAGAAGAATACAAAAGAGTTCAAAGACATGTCGGAATGCGATAAGGATCAAAGCTGACATTAATTTTTCGTTTAATAGAAGAAGTCCTCAAACATCGTTTATTAATTTTTTAAAGTTATCACATTAAAACTGAGTATTCTGAAGGATTGTAAAACGAATCTCGATAAGAGTTTTCGTTCACATCATAAGTTACAGACATTAAATGTCTCGAGCAAAATAAAAATCTTTACGAATCATCGATCTAAAAAATCAGGAATATCAAATTAGGCACAGTTTTCTTCACAGCGCATTAGTCTTTGCGTCATTGGTACATGCGCCTTAAGAGAAAAAAAAAAAAAAAAAAAACGTATGTACGCGTGCCCGTGTGCACAAAATATCGTACAAAAATTATCTATCTGTGACAGTCACACGTGACCAATACTGTACGTACAAATCGGTGTGGCTCTCTTCTCCAGAAAGAGTACGGGAGGAGAGAAAAAGAGAAGAGGGAAAGAAGAAGGAGGAGTAAAGGAAAAAGACGAGCTGCCGAGAGAAGTCGATCTGGTCTGGCTCAGTAAGTCGCAAGTTGTCGGACTAATCGCACACACAACAAGCACATCTCAGAGAGACAGAGGCTCCTTTTCCTCCGATTTCTGCTTTTCTCCGTGCGTTCCCCATTAACCACGGGCTTTCGTAGTTTCGCGGGCGCGCCAGCGCGTGCACAGACGTTTGCAAGCACACCGGGCGCGCTCGTGTTTGTTTTGGTGCTGCGCACGGCTCTTTTTTCTATTTCTCCTTTTTTTGTGAGATGAGAATTAACACTTAGTTTTTCGTTGCCTTTTTCTTTCATCGACGACTTCGACAGATCTACTTTCGCAAAGGGGTCTTTCCACCTTTAACTTTTCAGCGGCTTCATTTTTCCTCGTATATCGTCAACAGATATTTCTCAGTACTCATTTCATACCCAAGGTGAAAAAGACTATTATTTTTGTTATAGAAAAATATAGATGATTCATGCATTTCCTTGAAAAAGAAATTTATAAAATTACTGCAAATCTTTGAGAAGTTACGAAGAAAAACAGAAACAGAGTAGATAATATAAAGATCAACCTAAACTCTCTTGATGTGCATCAGCCTTCAAAGCAGAGCTCAGAAAAAATAAAGGATTTAAACAAATCTAACAGCAGTTAACGCTCAGTCGTATCTTTCACCCAACTGTCCCTGATAAGCAGCAAAAATTAGCGCAACGGGGAGCAGTTACCAGCGCTGGGTCGCCGAGAGCAATCTCCGACCTAAGCCCGCGCACAGCTTGCAGAGCCCTAATCCAGCCCGCAAGCTGATAAAAACTACCACCGCTAGCACTAGCAGCAACAAGAACGGCATCAAAAGCAACAGTAACAAACCCACGAGTCGCCCTACCAGCAAGATGAGCACTACGGCAGCCGATTCGTTGAGCGATCGCATGTCGAGAAAACTGCATTTGCAGCAGCGCACCATTGGCGAGGACAGGATCAGGCGAGCACGTGAACGCGATGAGGATGTTGCTGTGTTTAGCATGGTGCCACTCGAAGGAGATCCCAAATTCCGGTGCTGTCTGGGAGCCCAATGTCTACTCGGCGATCCGAGACGCGCTGAGCCAGGTGATCACCATCGCGTTGTTTTTGGTTTTTGGGGCAACAAATGGGGCTTCTTTGATAGGTATTTATATTGAACGATTAGACGACTTAATGATACTTTTTTTCGTATCAGAAAGTTTGAGTAGTCATAAAATAATTTTTATTTATTATGAGTAACTGCAACAGCAATTACAGCAATTTCAAACGAGGGTGTCGCAACCTGGTGTGACCCTCATGTAGTTAACTGATTGGTAATGATGAATAGAAAATTGTTAATTGTACAAATCAAAAAAAACTTATGTCTGAATGATGATCATTATACGTAAGTAATTATCAAAGTTGTAATATTAAGTTCGCGGTTGAACATACGTGTGGACAAATGTCGCGAAGACCCTTTATAACTGCAGATTAATCCACCTTCATATTAACACCAGACAGTTTTTCTTTTCCATGATTTACAATCCTTCAATACATTCACATAAATATTACAAATACAGTTTGCTTCTTACAAGGCTGTCTCCTACCTTATATACGATGAATAAGGTAGAGCACCCATAGTCTGTCTGAAAAACCCACCTTTACTCAGGTACGCACAACAGCTTGAAGGTCACGTCTATAATGTCCCTTTTTTCCTTCTCAAATCGATCTGGGCCGAGGCAACCTTACCGATGAAGCTCGTACTGATAGCTGCGCTATACATGCATAAGTATACGCCAGGACTCTGACTTCATCGGGGAAATCGAAGCGTGTAAGTTCTCCTTTTTGGTGCGTTCCTTGTGTATCTTGCACTTAGCTAATAAACTCGCGTTAATAACTCGGTAAGTAGTTTTGGCTGGCATTTTATTTTGCCATACCATGACAACCCCTGACTCGCTGACCGGGAATCATCGGTCGAGGGTCTGTAGATGGTTAGTTTTAGATGAACAATTGTTCACTCTTGCACTCTTACTTAAATGACTCATGCTACTTTTTTGTACATCACGCAAGTGCAACAAGCAATCACTGAGAATGATTGTATTGTTGTTCAACCTATAATTTCTCAGTACTACTAAATTCGAGTGTTGTAAAACTAAATTCTTATGATTTAATGTTCTATAACGCATTTATTACTCTTCAATTCAGATAATTGAAAAACCATTAGGCATGTGATTTACTTAAATACTAAAGTGTTCAGTTTTAGAAAATTCAGTCTTTCATTTTTAAATATTAAAAGTGTAAAATCATCAAGCAAATGCCTAAGTGTTTTGAAAGTACAAAGTTGTAAGTTTTTAAAATTTGTGACAATAAATAAACATTCAAGTGTTTTATTTGTAAACACTTGGATTTGCAGTATGTAATATGATCCTTTACCATACCTCACTTCTCTATTTCCCTAACTTTTTGGGCTTAGGGCATAACACATATTCAAAAGTATTGAATTGCAGCTCAAGAATTTTTTGACGACAACACTTTTAACCAAAACACTTCGAACCTGAATCACTCACAAATACTTACTGATTCACCAAATAATTGGAGACAACAGTTATTCACGTTGGTGAATTTTAGGTGCTGTTTATTCTTACCACCAACATTCAATTTAGAATCTTTTTCACTGATCAACCGCAAAATTTTCAGTACTAAACTTTTCATTTCAAATGGTAGATGTTAATTGTTGCAATTGACCAGAACTAGATCGAATTAACAACGTAAATTTTTGGAAGAGAAATTAATTTTATATTTAAGATGAATTTTTTCCTGCTATCAATCAAATTCGGCCATTAATTAGTTTTCCAATACTCTTCAATTAGCTCCAAATGAATCTGCTCAAAGAAAAAAAGACCGCTCCCTCAAAGGCCATAAAACCAAGTTTGGCAATTCAAATACAGGCGCGTACTTGTATATAAATTTAGACGCGGTTTGGAGCTGAAAGTATCAGCCGTCTGGGATTCCCAAGAAAGACTGGAATAGTACATCTCGTTGCCCTCGTTGGACCCGCTTAACTTCATTTTGACTGCGCATTTTGTTATTTTTGTAAGCCTCTAATCGAAAAATTTCTACAAAATAATCACACTTAAATTTTAATTCCGACCTTTAACACTTTTAAAAGAATCTGATGTTTGATAATGACAAGAAATGTTTTACGCACTAAATTCACCCATCGAAATAAATTGTGACTCAACGAAATAAGCCATAACCATAACTCTGCTCTCATTTTTACAAGCTTGTCATTGAATTTCACTTATAAAAAGCAAAAATAATCGTTTTCTGTCAATCTCACAGCGCATGTGACAATTTAACATTAATTAATTGGACTAAGTGATTTTTACGCCCATCTATAGTTCGGAAGAGAGGTAAATCGGCTGATCGGACGTCATTTTTGCACGCGAGGCGCTTCTACTGCTGCGCGTTGCCACATCGGGGCCTTGGGCCATCCACACGTAGCGGCTTTTACACGTACAGCCTTACATATACGGAATCAGCCTACTAGGTCCACCATTGACTGACGTCACTCTCTCCTCTTCTTTTTTCTTTCTGACTTTGACTCACGGCTCCATCGGGATTTATCGAGACTTTTATGCCTTCGAGCCGCCAAAAATCCATCGGTTGGGTTTTAATTTGCTGATGTACTTTAGGCAGCTTGGTCTTGGAAATTAAGTCTGCGGCCTGAGTTTTGCAGTCTGGGTCAAGCAGGCGTTTATAAATAAAGCTCACGTTTTACTGTACACGCATGAGGATTTCCACGACGCTTATCGTTTTTCAAAAATAGACCGATGTAGCCATCGTTGGGATTGATTATTGCTCTTGAGTCTCCAATTGACTGATGTAGACTGACTTCAAATGTTTCAAAATAGTATAATGAATCTTTACTGAAGCTTTGTTGAAGCTGTTTCAAGATTTATTTTACATTTCATGTTTTCATTTAAATCGATTGATCTTGAAATTGATCTAAATATTGGAGTTACAATAAAAATAAATTTGTAAAAATAGCACTTTTCATTCAGATTATTTGGAATCAATTGAAAACAATTTTCCAATGCATACATTAGCTCACTTGGAACTTGTATGAATGCATGTACACTTCCGTTGCGATATCAGGCGAGCTATCTGTATTTACCTCTAGAGCATAACAACGATCATTTATTACTAGTAGAGTAGGGCGTGAAAACGTTGATTTTGATGATCTCGAAGATCAGGAGTGTCTTTCTAGCACTTTGTTTATTTATTAGAACTTCCATGCCTTGTGCCACATGTGTAATCATCAACGCGCATAATATACCCGATATAATTCGTCAAAGATCCATTTGTATACAGTGCACGCAAGTTATTCGCGAGCCAAGATTATTCTGGTGAGTCTTTTTCTTTCTAAATAATTACGCGTATTTACTGGTGTTGAAAATTTTTCTACGTCGTCATGTACATCTTCTACTTTTTTAAATTTGCACTTGAGTAAAATGTTCTGACAGTCATTTTCAAGTCATATAGCCGTTGTAAGTTCGTGTCCAATCGACATCAGTCTATTTTCAAAGATCTTTTGTTTTTGCTGGTTACACAGCCAATGCGAAACATCTTCAAACATAAACGAAGGTTAATGATATAATATACAAAAAAAAAATTATCGATTCTCCTTTATGGGATTATTTTCAATATGTACAACTCATTGTCACCAGCTGAATTTCAGCGCACGAAAATCCGCGAGCCCTCTGTACATGTACATACGCATAGAAGAAGCTTTAGGCTTAGATCATCGTCTCTTTATAGATAGCAAGAGAAAGAGAGAAACAGATGGAGGCTCTTCTTCCGCGTCTCATCAGACTTAAAGACGTCGGTTTATCTTACGCACGCGCCTCCCCAAAACTCTTAGCAATAGAATAAATGATGCCTCTACGTCGGAAGAGAAGATGAGCTAAAGGATTTTTTGAAAGGAAAAAAAAATGGTTAGAGACGTTTGTGCAAAGGTAGCACGCCCACAAGTACGTGGTGGCGTTTCGGCCTTGCGGCGTACTAGCGTTTTTGCACTCGTCGTCGCGTGCCGACTTGGTTTTTAGTTTCCTTTTTGAAATTTATGGTCACTTTTTGTTTTGTTTCGTTTTGTTCAGGTTTGAGTTTGAACGCTATGGTTGAATCATTGGTTGTTTTTACTAGATAATTAAATTAATTGGTAATTTTTATTCATATAATTTTAATGTGATTTTTAATTCGATAATGAGGAATATTTCATGTGTGATTTTCCGAATGTGTTTCATTCTACCCTTGTATGCATCAAATTTTCGTTGAGTCACACGTCAGATTATAAATATAGCTACAAATACATACATGCACATGTTGTCAAAATTTTTTTTCCCAACCCCAGTGTATTTGTAGATATTGGATAATTTTCTTTAAATTTTAGAAATTGTTTTTAAATTTAAATTTTTAAAAATTTATTTCACTGTTTTACATAAAAAATAGAATAAAAACAGCAAGTTTTATTCAACGCAGTTTCAGTTTAGAGTAAATAATCGGAAAATCGTATGTATATACTACGCACTGATTATTTAAGAAATCAACCAAAATGTGACAGCTTTACAAACAAACAAAGCGCAATAAAATAATTAGTAACAATTTCAGTCACATAAAAATTATCAAATAACGCCATGCGTGAAAAGTAATTAGGCAATCGCACGAAAATAATTTTCCGTACAGTGTGTGGAAAGGGTTTTGCTGTAAGAGGGGCTTTGCCCCTCCATACCCCTCACCGAGGGCTCCGCCCCCTGGTCCCCGCACAACCTTCCTTGCGAATCATCAACTTATTTCATATTTTCTTCGCACTTATTGCTAAAAATCTTGTACGCAACTCGTGCGGGACGATTTTCCACATTCGCGTGATGGACTCACATTCGCGACTGGTGACGGTAACTCGAGCATTGCGATCACACTTGTGCTACGCACTTGTGTGCTTAACTGGCACTCGTTCCCGTCAACTCCAGCCACGTGTGCGAGTCAATCACGACTCGTGTGGGAAATCGTCTTTTCCGCACTTGTTACGTAAATAACTATACTTTGAATCTCAAAATAATAATGATCAAGCTTCTTCACTTATTGTGCTTAGCCTACCATTTATTTAAAATTTCTCAAATCAATTCCTTCTATATCATTCACGCATATAAATATACTTCCATGCGAAACAAAACAAAATTTTTTTGTACGACGTACACTTGCACATTCATAACATGTGCGCGAAATTCCAGCCAAAATGCGAGAACTAAGCAAATTGCAAATTAGCACACAGTTCGTTAGGTGTCGAGCAAGCGTCTCCGTTTCAGTTCTACAACCTACGATTTTCTCAGGGCTGCTGCATGTTTATATTTTGCCAAATTAATTCGAAGCATTGTCACGCTGAATATATATACATATTTATGCATGCAAAAGCCGTGTTATTCAAGCATGAAGCTTGGGCGCGATGTACTTACTTTAGCTGTTAACAAATTAATTTCACAAGTTATATCAAAGTATGCAGGTGTTAACTCAATTTTTTCAACATGAAAGTGTCAAATGAGGTGCCGAATGTATGGAAAAAAAGTTAAAATTAACAGAAAGATAAAATATAAACGATGTATTTGTTTTCCCATAAAACACAGGCACCAAGAAGATGGAGTATAAGACAAGACAGTGGCACGAGAAATGCTTCTGCTGCGTAGTCTGCAAGAATCCTATAGGCACCAAGAGTTTTATCCCGCGTGAGCAGGAAATCTACTGTGCCGGCTGCTACGAAGACAAATTCGCTACCCGATGCGTCAAATGCAATCAGGTACATGATGCTAAATTACGATATAAAATTTAGTCGAGAGAAAAGATTGAATTAAATTACTTTTGTTTTGTTATTTTTCTAATTGCAGATTATCACTAGCGGTGGTGTTACATACAAGAACGAGCCATGGCACAGGGATTGCTTCACCTGCAGCCACTGCAATCAATCTCTGGCCGGCCAGCGATTCACGTCCCGCGACGAGAAGCCTTACTGTGCCAATTGCTTCGGCGAACTTTTCGCCAAGAGATGCACCGCCTGCACAAAACCGATTACTGGTGAGTCCTGATGGTTATATTAATCGACAATTTTACTTTATGGAGAAAAACAAACTCATCGTCCTTATAGAGTTAAATGGAGACAATTTATGTAGATTTTGGTTTATCTAAAAAATAATTAGATATTTTTTAGATAAAACAAGTAACTGATTTACAGGTTTTAGTCGTCAAGTAAGTATAGTCAAGACATTAGGTAGTTCAGGGGTTAGCCACGTTCATTATCATCCTAGGTAATACTAGTTAATAAATTTTACCATCGTGAAAATTGTAAATCTAAACTGCATATATTATATCCACTCGAAAACTGTCACTTTATTATTGTTATTTTTGTCTTTTGGAAAATTTACTAGAATTTTTAGAACAATTTCGATAAAATTTCTTGCCTCGTGCAAAAGCTGATTTTATGTTAAAAGTGTTACAGAATTTATAATTAAGAAAAGAGATTTGACAGTTATTTTCCCTTTCGTTAAAAATCACAGGTATCGGTGGTACTCGCTTCATCTCATTTGAGGACAGGCACTGGCATAACGACTGCTTCATTTGCGCGGGCTGCAAGACATCGCTGGTTGGCCGCGGCTTCATCACCGACGCTGAAGACATCATCTGTCCCGAGTGCGCCAAGCAGAAGCTATCATAAATATCGCCTTCTTTTAAACGAATCTAGCCTATCCTCCCGCTCCGTCGCCACTGAACCAACATGATGATTATGATAAAAAAGCGACATTCAACATCTGGAAGATGACGATGATGATAATTTGGATGATGATCCTGATTATGATTATCAAGAGAATGATAATGATGATAATGATGATGATAATGATATTATATTGACATAAGCATGCATGAGTGTGGGCTTTGTTGATTGTTGCGCAAACCCTTGCTACTAAAGCTATTGTTTGAATATTTATAATACACTGGACTTTTTTCACCGTGGACTTTAAAGGTGTGATGGTTAACGGGCTTTGGAGCCCTCGGTGGACTTGAGTGTGAGTCAATTATAGTTTGAGCTTTTATTGGAAGTTCGATAATGAGAACAGTTTCTGCGTGATCCTATGTGGTTCGTGCGAGTATGACTTTGTACAAACTCGTATGGAAAATTGCTTTGAGGTTTAGGATTGCACTTACAAATTATTTACATTTCAATGACGCAATACGCTATAATGTTCCAGCGGTAATATTGTAACGTAATATCATGTAACTGGCTCTTTGAATCGATAAAAGAACTAATCTACCATTTGTTCTTGAGGTGCGATGAAAGCTTTAACTATTAAACATTTTATTCGGTGTCGACTAGAACAATAACAAACCTTGATGCTGCGTAGTCGTGTAGTAATTTAGAAAACTTGTTAACCTCGTTTTTCGTCAGTGATTGAAGATAAATAAAAAAATTTGTGTCCTGTGGGTAAGTCAAGATGTGCGTGTGTATCACATACATTTAATGAAGTAGAGAATTATGAATCGGCGAAATGAAAGAGACAACATAAATTATGATAGTGAGGCTTTTTCGAGGATGACAAGGTGACAGAAATGTCTCGATATTTCGAAGGATTTCAGATAAAAGAACACAAAATTAAGATAAACAAGATAAATCAAATTAAGTGTTATAAGATGCATGCAAGCAATGCTCAAATATACTTAATGATTTTAAATCTTTAAACGAATGACAAGTCAATGTCTTATAAAAGGGTAAAGTTGATGACAAAGTTAAGAACTGGCTAAGTCACGATTTTGCTTATTATTAATGTTATTGTTTTTTTTTCGCTTTATATATATATAAATAAAGGTAAAAGAGATAGTCGGGCTGCTTATCTCGCCAGTAATGGGTTTGAAAAATTATTGAATGAACTTAGAAAAAAGTAAAAAAATTACAACAAAAAAAAAAAAAACGTGCAGAACTACATTATGAGCCCATTCGATTGAATTTTGCGTATATAGAGTCATTTTATTTTTATCAAGGGTAAAAATTGCGATTAATTAAATACGCGAATAAGTACACACACATTACACAACTATACTTACAATTTGTGCAATATCTAAATACTTTTCTTAACTTCAGATACGTGGTACATTATGTGTTAAACATAATTTTTTTTTTCTAAAGTAATAATAAAATTAATTTTTTCATTGTTTTGTAAGTCTAGTAATGCACCCGCGTGTGGTAGAACGATTTCTTTTTTTCTTCTATCTATACATTTTAAAAAAATGTGTAAAATATGAAATTTTTAGGTTGCAGCAGAAAAAAAGGAGATTTATGGTATGAAAATTGGTTGCACGTGAGAGATGCACGAATAAAAAAGAAAATTTTAAAATAACTGGGGCCTTATTATTCGCATCAATAAAGTACCACTAGCAGAACTAATGCCTTGTATATTAAACGTAAAAGATTCTCGATTATACATTACACTTATAACAAAAAGAAGTAATTTAAAAGAAAAAAAAAAGTTTAAAAAAAAATATCTATATTTTGATGTGACTGAACGTTTATCGTTGAATAAAGAAAATATTTATGAATAAGTCAAATGTGGCTTCGATAAAAACATTGTACCCGCTCTATATTCTTACTAATTCTATTTATTATGAATTGAAAAAAAAAACATCTATTCTGTACTCAGCGCATCATAGCTGTTACAATGTAAAATTGACATATGAATAAATGTAATTATTTAAGACTTCTTTTTTTATTTCAATCTTTTAAAAATTTAATTAGATATATTTGGGATTTAGAAATACATTAATAAATATTGTACGTTCTACATTTCATGTTTTATTTACAAAAAGTGAGGGTTTTATATTTTTAATGGTTGTGAGTAAATACATAAAACTAACGAACGCCAAATGCCGACGATTCCTTGGATTTTAAAAACTTGCATTATTTTATTAATCTGTGTACACTTTAATTTGATGTCAACTTATATTTGATCTTTAAAAAAATTTTTTTTTCAATAAAATTTTATAGAACTTACTATAAATTTGATCATAGAAGTATTGTCTAGCATACTGATCTACACAAAAAAAATTTTTTTAGAACAACCAACAAAAGTGCACTTGCGTTAAAGCCAATAACAACAAGTTTTTGGTCACGATTCTCTGCTAACTTTTTTTCTTCAAACTCTACATAGAAACTTTTTCGACTCCATCGTGAACAATATCACGCAAGCAAACAAGGTCATCGTGAAATTATACAATCCTTTGTCAAGCACGATTTAAAAAGTTTACGACGCTTGCACCGGCATTACGGTCAAAGTATTAAGCCTCCCTTCATTGTACGCCTCTGGACTACAGAGCGACTTTTTGTACCTCAAAATAATCCAGTTATGGCTATTATCTTTTAAGAGAAGCTAGCTGTTATTTCGCGTAATAAAAGTTTTTCCTCAAAATTACATAGGGATAAAAGTTAGTCTTGTCTTGAATATTTTTTTTTTCTTTGCCGTTTGTATCTTAGTTAGAACGCAGGTCACACTTTGAGGTAACATCATGTTGTCTCCCTCGCACTTATGATAAATGATTACGTGACCTTAACTGACTTAACTAACGGAGCCTTATGCGAACACAGCCATAACCAGTTATAATTCATAACCTCTAATCTCATTTACTTTAGTCAACACATATATTTTAATGTGCACAGTCAGTGGCAGTGTAAACATGAAATCGATTGGAAAGGCAGCTTGCTCGATTGCATCCTTTTCGAATGATCCGTTTGGTTCTTTTTTTCTCGATCAGGCAGGACCAAATAGACGAGAGAACAACGCGAAACGACGCTATTATTATTCGTGCTTGCTTCTGCAATACCTACTACCGAACGCGTCCGACGTGACGAATATTTGACGCAACCGCTGGCGATTACTATACCAGCTGTGCTGGGCCGATTCGATTGCATGCATTTAAAGTGGTTCGATTCGTGTATGGAGATATATAGGAAGAGCATGGGGGAGAGATTTCGGAAGGATGTCACATCTGGCGTTGCCATGCGGGGGTCGAAAGAATTTCGGTATGTTTCTGTTACTCTCGGCGGCAGTGCTGCGGAAAATAAGCTATATGGGGTTGCATTAGCATTTTGATGTGAAGAGGATGTCGATGGAAAGCGTGTATTTTTCAGCAGGATGTGGACTCGTTGAATCTATAATACATTTGAACGTGATGTTACTTATTCACTTTGATAACAAACTAACTTTCAATGAAATTTTTCGGAGGAGGCCAGAAGTATCGATGGTTTGCTATAAGTTTGAAACCAAAAACATTTTAGCATTGAGTACTGTTTCTTCCATTTAACACAAAGAAACATATTTCAGAGTTTCTTACAAACTCCCTATACGCACCTAATGAGTTATTTCAAGTTAGAGTGAAAATAATTAGCCAATGAATAACTCCTGATTTTTAGCTTATGCTTAACTATTTCTCTATCATCTTTAATTTTTTTCTTCTTATTGAATTACAATGGTTTCGAATAAGATATCTATTTACGTTAAAAAATATTGTGTTAAGTTACACGTTCAGTTTTCAATTTATTAGATAAAACATTACGGAGAAAAAAGTTACATAGACTTTAATCGTAAAAGTAACTGTAATTTTTTTTCGTAGCTTTACCGTCATTTTTTTATAGCAGAAAAATTTACCTCATTTAGATATTTTTTTTTAATTGTGAAGCTACGATATTTTTTTTTTTTTTTTGAGAAAGATGATATTGGAAATCGGTACTGTGTCGAGAATAGAGACACTCAACTTATGTTCACTCGTACATATATGAGACAAACAACCTTTGTTTTTAATAATGTACACTTAGTGCTAATCATAATTGTCAAAATATTTTTACGAACACATGAGAACGTTCCAATAGTTCTCATTAGCATCGAGTGTACATATCACAGAATTTTCCACCCCCTTAAGATTTTAAGCGTACACGTAAGTTAGTGTAAGTTGTCATGGGTTGATGTTGGACGCTAAAAATTAAATGCAATATATGACGTAAGCGTACCAGCGCGTGTTGATATGCCGGACAATGGGGTCAGTGCAAAAAGGTAAATTTCTGTACGTGTGTATGTCAGGCAGCATATTTTTAACTGCTTGCAAGATTGGAATCATATTGGTTGCATCAAACAAACAAGAGTAGAAACTTAGGATGGTACTTTTAAGGGCTTTAAGTTAACAAATGACACTCAATAACTTTACCCAAATAAATTTTTATTGCATTTTTCAGAAAATTATAAATTTACATTCTGATAAATTCCGTTATAGGGGCGTCCTAACACATAAATTTCAATGCAAGTAAAATATAGTGTGTTTTTATACTTTATATGCACATGAGAGCAATTTTATATTTATAATTTTCGGCAATGCACATTTTGCACATTCATTATTGCGATACACTTTTCAAGTTTTTTTACGCAATGGATGAAAAAGCCTTTTTTCTATATTTCGTTACTTTGTACAGTTCATTGATATTAAGGTATGATTTAAAGGTATAACTTGTATTATAGTATTTACGACATCAAATATTCAAACACATTAATTAACATTTTTCATTTGCCTAAGTCTCGTCATTACTTGTCAATTAATTGACTGGCAATACGCATATCAGACTCACACCTCCCGCCTCATCATGATCTAGCATTCAATAGACGCAGCATGTTTCAACACCTTCCCTTCGTCTGGCGAATAATATAAATATAATAATCGTATTTAATCTCAAGATTCAGAATCTCTAGTACGTGAGCTAAATTAACAATAAAAATAAAATACACGGTAGGGGTCGAAGCTACTAATATTATTCGTGTGCTTGCCATATACGTATTGATCTTGCCATCACTTACCCCTTTTTGTAATAAATCCACGCTCCTATACGCACGAACACATCAGCTGTCGTTAACGATGTGTGTAAGAGTCACGTACAGCAGAGCTCCGGATGAACATCGAATGGCGAACGTCACGTGCGTAACTATTCCTGCTATTGTGAGCATGTACGTGATTATGTAGTGATCGGTGATGGTGCCCCCCTCCCCTTGATTTTTGGAATGTACCTGGTATTGTATTTTTGCTATCAAGTTTCATCGTTGGATGGTTTAAAAAAGAAGCTTAATTTTTCAATAATTTTTAATTTGTTTCAAATCAAATAAGTAGAAATGAAAGTTTGCATATTCTCAACTATTATTTATCTACAGCATACTCACCGTTTTCCCCACATATTTTTTTTCTTAGAGGTTGACTTTTTCCAGGAAATATAATAATCGTTCAATGAATATTTATCACGTGAAGAGGCAATTTTCAGGGGACTAGCTTAAAGATCGAAAGAAGCGAGTATGTTTTTATTGAACTGTCAGAAACTGATCCTTTGGATTTATTTATGATGTGAGAAAGTATTTTGACAGTGAAACGAATGTAATAGTGAAAAGATGACGCGTTCATACATGTGATGAATATTTTTTCAGAGATTTGTGTCATGAATTAGTTATCAAATTTCTGGAGCGTTACACAAACCAAATTTAAATGTTTTTTACAAGCAGTACTCTGACGATGTAGTCTTTATTAATTACAACTAAACGAATAAAAAGTTTACAACGGTAGACATCACAACTGCACATGACGAAAGAACCAATGTATGTGAAGGATTCCTTGGACACAAAGATTTATTACTATAAATTTAAAACGATGCATGCATATTTAGCTCAATTTTTTGCTCCATTCTCCAGTACTATCACCTCTCAAACCCAGCGAATTTCACCAGTAAGATAGAAGATTAATCAACTCCCCTTTCTCTCTCTCTCTCTCTCTCTTTTTCCTCCTTATTTCTCTTTATCCGTCTCGTAGCGCCAACCCTTGCAGCTTTTCTACCGGAGGGCGTCAGCGATAAGAAATTCTACACCCTCGTTCTCTCTTAGCGAACTTACAGCTACCTTCTGCAGAATCTGTCGAGAAGTACACTAATTATGCATGTAACAGGACTGCTCCGGTAAAAATTTGCAGTAGTAGAGCACCAGCTGGCGTCCGGAAATTTCGGTGCACTGATTGTCGTGTGATTCTTTCAAAAGTGACCTAAAAAGAAGTCGTATCCATATTCTTTTTTTTTCACCAAGATTCCTTTGTACTTGATTTTTCTTGATCGCAGAGTTGTTTTCCTTGGGTTAAATTGACAAGGAAAGATCGCAGCACATGTTAATCAATAAAATTATATGATTGTAAGTTGATTGAAGTTAGTACATTTAAAGTGAGGGGATTAAATAATTTAACAATTAGTTATATGCAAAACAATTATCATAATTTTTGTCGGAACATATAATTTTATATTAAGTAATAAATCAGTTAAGGTGTCAATAAAATAAATTTTTTGTAAAATTAAAATATAACCGTCAAAAATAGCAGCGAAAGGGAAGAAAATCAGTAGCAATAGGCATTAATAAAAGATACTCTGTAAAAAGGCTAAGATTTTGTTGGTACATTTAAAACCATTAATATTAGATTGGGGCAAGTAAATTAATCCAGTACGTATGTATACGATAATTTAACTCCATCCCTATGAATCTAGTTTATTTAACGCGAACCGATAATTCGGAGTCGAAACCCCCTTTTGTCTATTTTTAAAACGAGAATTCGACAACGGCCTCACACGCTTTTTGAAAATTCAAACACTGATTAGTTTAATTACTCGCATGCGCGCACAGTGATTAGCTAACTGTGT